GGTCAAAGAGATAACTGTTCCTGCTGCAAGTGATGGTCTCCGTGTGACTGTTGGTTAACAGCAAATAGATAAGGAGAAGCCTGTACCAGATTCAATCCCCGTTGTGGTGCAAGGATTTGTCTGATGTGAGTCGGCTACTTCCTGTTTGTACAGTTCAAATCTTCTGTGTTTGGATAAGAGTTGATTTTCATGTGCACTAGACAAGGCGTTTACTATTTACATATATTTACAGTTTGAGGTTTACTGCAGCGTACAAAGGCAGTGTTGTCTCTCCGTCAGAGAGAGGCAGAATTTCTGTTCTATTTCCACTAAGTGGAAAAAGCACTGATTTTTAATCCAAGTCTGTTTTATCTCTCACATGAGTGTCTGTGTGCAGCCTTCACTGCATTTGTTCTTGCTCAAAATACACCGGGCGTCTTTGTTTCAACTAAATATGATTTCATTTAATTTCATTTCATTTCATTAATTTCATTTAATTTAATTTAATAGAGCCAAATCTTCCAAATAGAGCCAAATCTTCCATGATCCAGTTCAAGTAAGTTTCTCTCAATATGTTTGAGGATCCACTTCAAGTAAGTTTCTCTCAATATGTTTGAAAATGTGTCTGAGAGTCTCCACAACTGGAATAATCTGGTCATGATGAAATTCCTAAAGTGTATAGTTGAAAGACAAAAACAACTCCAAATAATTTATACTCAGATAGCACTGGGTTTTACTCATAGTAAAAACACCGGCCAACACAGCAAAGATGCCAAATCCAGAGTTTGCTAAGATGTGAATGTCAAAGCAGTTGAAGCTTTAAAAAAAATCAACAACAACACAACAACCTCAACCTTTCATGTGCGTGCGAGTACAATTCTTCAGCCTTTCTTCAAGCTCTTGTCATCGGGTATCAGAAGACCATGAAGTCTGTTAAATCTGAAGATATAATAAAAACTCATCGTTCGTTACCCTCAGAACACAGTAGCATCTCCTAAAAACCCACAAATGTCTTACTTGGTCTGAAGAACTCGAAAGTGTAAACAGGCGAAAATAATTCAATGTACAAGACAAAGAAGTGGAGAGATGTAGTGAGAGTAAGCCCGTCTCTCTGTTTCTCATTTTATTACACTCTAATAAATATTATTGACGAAAACATACTGTATATAGTACATGTAGAGTACAAGTAGAAGCAGAGTGGTGTGTACTTGATGGCCCATTACCAAACAAAAGAAGGAAAACGGTATAAACACAATCAGTGAGCTATTGTCCCTGAACCCACCTGTTGCTACAGTAAAGTGTGGAGTTAGTCCAAGTGGCATTAATATGCAGACTTTATTTCCAACATTTCCCTCTTTAATTATTGATGTTGCAGTCTTCGCTACGGTGTTTACTTTTGAACATTCAAATAGTGAGTATATTATCGCTTTTTGAAACAAGTGAAAAAACTAAAAACGTCAAAAGTAAATGCAACAATAGATTTTGAATTAATAAAAACTGCTGGTATTTATTTATGTCTTCCAGCAAATTGTCTAAGTTTGAAATGTTGTTTTGTCTGTATTCATAATAATAAATCACAGTTAAGTGTGATTAATTCACGGCTTCCCTGTGATTAATCAAATTTAAAAAATGAATCGTGCTGATTATTAGGATCGAGACCTTTTGACATTTTTTCTCTATAACCTTTCTCAAAGATCTGACTTAGTGAAAATGGCAAATGAAAAATTGACCAAAGATTATTAAAGTCAGAATTTGCACACGCTCTAATTGAATACATTAATTAAAAAAATGTAATTAAGTTGCTTAGGATGTTGGAGGGCAGTGGAAGTCTGACCTTCCCGAATGTGAATCTTATAATTTTGGCAACATTTTGTTCAGCGTTGAGAGGGAAGAGAGAAAACTTCCGACACTTTGTACTGGTTTGTCATTTCTGAGTTGCTGTTCCTCAAAGAGCTCAAAGTCTAAAGTTTGACACAGACTTTCTGAGTCGGAGTTGGAAAAGTCAAAAAGTTGAAACTCCCTCAAGGTTTTTCTTGTGTTTTTGTTAATATTACCTTTTTTCTTTTTTAAAACATTTACAACCTCCCCTGTCCGTCAGCAAAGACACTGGTGGAATGTTAAGCACATCATTGTAAAGCAGCGCGGCGAGCCCGACTGTGTGCTACAGATACTCTTAGCTAGAATTGCTAATGGAGGAGAAGACAGGCTGCATCTAAAAGACGTGATTATCAGCGACACTGCCAGCTGCAATCAGGGCCGGGGCACAAAGAGAGAGACGTGCAGAGAGGTTACTCCGAGCCTGCGATGGGCAGGGTGAGGAAACGGCTTTACTTTACTTTCATCTTCCACACTGACAATACAAAGAGAAGAGAGAGAGACAAACAAGAGAAGTGATGACAATGTAAAGGTCTGTGGCAGGTGTGTGTGTGTGAGAGAGACGCTGGCATTGGACACAACAGTAAGAGGAAATGAAAGAGGCGGCGAGGGGAGCAACACGGATGTTTTGAAGTGCGCCCGTCTTGGAGAAGTTGAGCCAAGTGTTGCATCACACCAAGAGAAATCTTAAAAGTGGTTTTCTGTGTCTGTGTGTGTAATTGGGTAGAAAGGTGCCAGCAACGGCTGCTCCCGTGCTTCAACTTTAATTCTGTCACGTGTTTCGGCTGCGGCTCTTCTCCGTTTTGATCGTTTTTGGTGGGGCGTCGTGAACAGTTTAAGGCTGAACGAAAGCCACGTGTTTTTTTTTGTTCTTAAAGACTTCTTTCTGTTCAGTGTCCTCTACGTGACCGTGGGTTTTGTTTTTCGGGACTTGTAAAGTTTGTTTATCTAGTCCTCAAAAAGAAAGGTAGCCAGATTTTGTGAGAGAAACAAGCTTGGTAGCTTGTTTCTCTCACAAAATCTGGCAACGCCGAAAGAAATGTTCTTTTGAGGAGAAGTATGCACTACTGTGTTTTGTGTTGTGTCAGAATTGGTTGTGTACAGTAGCTCTCCTACACTGGTCTGTAGATGGCGCTAGCACACATTCGGTGACCGTGTTGCGTGTTTGATCACACATGTACTCAGGATTATTGAAATAAGTTTGGCTAAAAATGAGCTTAAGACTAAAAAAGTGCTGTCATGTAACAGAACTTTTCTTTTCGTTTTTTTTTCCCAAAGACTGCGGAGTATAAAAAGGTGAGGTGGAACTAAATGTCATCATGTGAAAGTTGTGAGTACAAAGGAGAGAGCGGGTTGTGGGAAGTGTTTGCAGTAAATTTCTCCTTGATGTTTTGGCTTTCCTCCTGATATTTAATCACCGTGGGCCGCTCCCGGCCGCTGCAACCTAACATTTGCTGAAAGGTTAGACGTGTCGCTCCTGCTTAGCTCCAGCTAAATGCACGTCAGTTTCAGAGAGCCGGGGAAAGAGCCTGGTGTCAGTCTGAGAGGGAGGAGGAGGACGTCACTGCTCTCCTGAGGTCAGGGCACGGACTCATTTCACTCCCCGTGCGGTGACATTTCCTCCTCCTCCTCCTCCTCCTCGTTTCCTCCTCCCCCTCGTTCTTCTCCTCTTCGCCCTCCAAAATTTCAGTTGTAGAACTACCTCCACCTCTATATCTGAATACCGTAAAACGTATAGAAATGTGACAGATTCAGATCAGAGAGTCCTCAAATCTAGTTCTGCACCGTAGGGTTTGTCTTTGTGTTACGATTTTAAGGATTTCCTTTGAGATCGGGGTTGTTTCCCAGGCACGACGGGAGCCGCATGCACCGTGAAGGCATTCTTACATAGCATAAGTGGCACCAGAGTTTAAGTAATACTTGTGTTTTCAGCACTAAAGATGTAGTAAAATCAGTATATAGGCAGCAATAAACGGCACGGTTCAGATACAGATACAACCTAGTTTCCAGGTTCATTTAACTGTTCATTTTGACCTGTTTCAAATTGATAAACAGACTACCATTCTTATTGTATGTTTTAAAAGGCAGTTTAACACCAGTCTAATTGAATGTATATGAGGCAGTTAATAAGTAACGCCTCTGTTAATGTGAGCACATCGTATATATCTCTAAATGAGCATCAAATTTGCCAGAAATGTGAGAAGCTAGCTGACAACTTTAAATACTTTAATTTAGCTTCCGTCTCTTTGACGAAACAGATGTTTTTTGTTCCAAAATATGAGGCAGAAATTTGCAGGAGCGATGGTGGCAGTTTGCCAATGGTTTTCCTCGCCTTTTGATTTTTTTAATGGAATCTGTTTCAGCTCCGCTCTATTCACCATCCAGCCTTTCAAGTTTACTTGTGCCAAAGTAAATTAACTGTCCATTTAATGAGACAGCATGACCACCAAAGCATGATGAGCTCAGAGAGCAGATGGTCAAAGCTAATGAAGTGTGCACCGCCCCCTGAAAGTCAACAAAGAGGCAGCATTAAGTATGTAAATATCTTCTTTTCTTTTTTTTTTCCGCCTCCCCCATCCTTCCCGCCCGCCCTTCCTCCCCTGCACCCAAATATTTACGGAGGTGACGGTTGAAATGTTGTCCGAGGGCCACGTCCAATTAAAAAGCCCTGATATCAATGAGTGTTCTCCTTCTCTCCATCACAAAGCAGCGGCAGACGATGGCGCTGCCAACTACTTCGCTGTGTAACCCCTAATGGGCTTTGGATCTGTATCGGCGTCGTACTCACAGCGCACAGGCGTCTTTAATCAGTAACAAAAATCTAAAGTGGAGACTTTAATCTGATGTGTTGACCGTCATCAGACTACACCTGCAGAGGGTGTGGTTGACGCTCATATCGTCCAGAGGAACCTGCCGTCTCTGCTCAGCTTAGTTCATGGACAATTTGATTCCCCAATGAACAAATGAATGAATCAATGAATCAATACATTTTTTATTGATCGTAATTTGATTTTTGATTCTGATGATAGGCCTAATGTCTGCATAATTTTTTTTCATTGGGAAATATTTAGTAAAATTAGTAAAAATCTGCATATATTTTATTCATCATACTGTAGATGTTAAAGGTTGTCTTATATGAACGTTATATAGTGTTTTGTAAGTAGCGATTTTATTTGAAGTAAATGGACGTATGACAGTAATTTCCATTCACTTTTGAACTTGAGATTGACATTTCGCCTTATAGTTATAGTATAAGTCACTATAACTAAGTATCACAGAGAGATGTTGGAGGTAGAGATGTTTTCTCCTTTTCCCATCGAGTTATCTTCAAAACCAAAATAATACAAACATTTTTTCTGGGCTTTTTTGTTTTTACAACCAAACTCTGGATGCAGGTAGTTTTGCACTTTTCCTGCTCTTTGGACAGAGCTCAGATTTGAATTTCTTGATTCTTTGCACTCCCAAACACATTCATGCTTGGGATGCTGCTAATGCTAATGTGGCTAAGTTGTCATTGAAAGAAGCCTGATGTTGTTTTAGACGGGGAGCCTTCGCCAGAGAGACTCTGGTGCTTTTTGGAAAGCGGCATGAAAGTGTCAGCAGTGGACAGACTGATGGATGTGGACGCAGCGCCGTCACCCAAGGGTGCTGCTGGGAGCGGATGTTTTTCAGCGCTCTGTGTTTTCAGGAAAGCTGTGTGCTTTTAGGGGGAAGAAAAAAAATTACTGGTTCCTTTCCCGTTGAATGCCTCCACATTTTTATCTCGCGTCCCCTCAGGAGAGGCTACACTGCAGTGAACTCGCAGCAGTGAAAGATCCAAGAAGCTGAGGTAGGAAAATCCCCCTTAAGCAAAGGCAAGGCATTAGAACCTCTAGACCCCTGACACACACACACACACACGTACGCTCCACCTTTCTCCAAAGCCAGACTCCACCAACATTCTGTGTAAAACAGAATTTCCACAGATCTGCCTCGTATCGCCTTGAGCTTTGAAATGCGTCTTCAGTCCCTCCAACACTGCATTCGTAACGTTCCTGTTCTTGGACGTGTTAGTCTGAGATACCGCTTTCAAGGGTTCTGTTCCAGTGGCCGGACTCGACTGCACTGACATCAGAGCCACCGTACCGTGGCCAAGCACGTTTGCCCCCTGGAGTCCAGTTTCTGCAGCTAGTGCAAGTGAAAGAGTACTACGGCGTGGTCAGAACAGCTGGGCCACAAAAATCTTTGTGTTCGTACGGTATGGTTTACTGAGAAATGTTGCCTAGCAATAACCGAAAACATCGGTGACCATTTTGCCGCGTTGTCAGATTAGCGTTCGATTGCGCTGTTTTAGCCACGTATAAACAGCAGTCACTGACTGACTGTGTTTGTCGGGGGCAACCGTGCTGCAGCCAGCCTAATGTTAGCGCGGGCCACCAGGGGGCAGTACAGAACAACTGGCCCTATTGAGAGTGCACCCTTAATCTCTTAGACTGTTCTCCTACGGAAACTTGTAGTATATGTATGTAGTCCACGTATAATGTACTTCTAGTCTTGGCTCCTTAGTGTTTGTGTTTGTGAGTTGACACAGAGCTCAGTTCTGTTAGGTTTCCAGCTCTTTCATTGCTGTGTGTTTTCACATCTGTCACCGCTCTGAAAAAAAAAAAGTGGTTTTAGATCAAAGACTAAATTTAAAAGCAATGGTGTGCAAAACATATTATGGGATGGATAAAACTTGTTTTATTCTGTCACTGTATGCGTTATAAATAATTATAGCCCCAGTCCTCTGTTTATGAGTTTGTTTTTCCTCCTACCTGCCTGGCAAACTGTGCTTTTGTGAATGCAGGCTCTACAATAAAAACGACCTTAAATGAATCAAGTGTAAAGAATGGTGCCAATACTACCTCTGCGGAAAAGACGAAAACTGAAACCGACGTTTGTCTTCATACATGTTTTTTGGGGGGGTTTTTTGTAATATGAAAAAGCTGCAGTTTTTTTTTCAAAATCACTCATAGCCAGGATTCTCTGCACAAGTTATTAAGTTTGGCAACACTGGCCCTGCTATCAGCCAAAGGCAAACATTAGCATAATATATCCCTGTCCTCAATGATCACAGCCTGGAAGTTACTTTTCCAAATATTAAAAAAAAAAAAAATTCAACTAGACTGAAAATTTAAAAAAATTGATGTAGCCTTCCTGTTGCTAAGCACAGTTCCAAAGAGAAGCCTTGGAAAGAAGATAGAGCTCTATTTATTACTTTATTATAGTTTTTCGGATCATTTTGTTTGTCACGGTCACTGATTTACGGTCTTGTTATTAACATTTTGTGTCAGTTTTTATATTGTTTATATATTACATATATGTATATACACATTGACATGGAAGTATATGTATATAGAAATAGTTATATATGTATGTATATACTGTATATAATTATATATATATATTAAAATTAACAAATATTTTTATCGTAACAAAAGCTTTGAATTGTTAATATTAATAATCCAGTTACATTGATGATTTTAATGGTGTTTACTTCTGGTCTAATTTATATAATACATAGAGTTATTCTGGGATTTTTTTTTTTACTTGCTGAGAATTTGTTCTGAAAATGTCTGGTTTTGTTGTTGTTAGATCAGTTTATTTTATTCTTTAATTTCTACAAAGTATTTGGTTTCCAAGAAGAGCTAGACGTTTTTAGTGTCCTGCTCTGAAATCTAAAGTCTCCCTGAACTAAAGGGACTGTCTGAGTCCTGGTTATTTGTTGAACAGGACTTAAAATCTGTTCAAACAAAAGAATGTCAGTGTTCATTCAGCTGATGTGAAAAAGTCTCTTGCGGTTCTGCAGATGGAGCTGTAAAAGCTCTTTGTTCTGAGCGAGACCAGCTTCCTTCAGTTTCTGTTGTTATTGGACACTTTTTTTTAAAAAGTTCGAGCAATTTTTAAAATAGTTCATCTCACGTTTCCTCCTGTTTCCGCGTCGGTAATCCCTTTCCCTTGACTTGACAGGTATCCGTTCCCGACAGTGTTCAGCACATGCAGTAAGAAGGACCTCGCTGCCAGCCTGGAGAAAGGTGTGGGCATGTGTTTGGACAACATGCCCGAGGTCAAGGTTCTCTACGGTGGTCAGGAGTGCGGGAACGGCTACGTGGAGGAGGGGGAGCAGTGCGACTGCGGTGAGCCCGAGGTAAGACCGAGGGCATTGGTACTGGGCCGCAGTGGGACACAATAAAAAAAATATACTTCATTTTTACTAATTTACTTCATTCAAAGAAAGTCCAATTGTATCCATTTACTTTCTTTATTTAAGACAATCTAATTTTAAAATAATAGGACATTCAGACTCTGATACTAACAGAATAGAGTCTAAAAGATGTTTTAATTTGAAAATGAAATGATTATTATTTGAATGATTATAAAAACTTTTAGTGCTAATGCTTCAGTCTCAAGATACAGTAAGACACAAAAGTCAGACATTATGCAGAGAGGATTTGGTGAGTGAGTATCACCTCTCACAGTAAAGCCGCATTTCAAGCAGTACTGTATACGCAACTGTATTTCATATTGGAAGTTTAAGGCTCGTCTTCTGTTCCCTATGAGGCCATTTTCTTTTTTTTAAATATGCTCTAAAAAGGCCAATTTTGACAAGCATCTTCAGGAAACGTTTGTAACATGGAGAGTTAAAAAGTGAAAATCTCAGAAACTTTTCCTCAAACTTCAACTCAAAGTCATTACATCCAGAACCATTGTATGTTTTCTTTTAAATCAAGATATCTGTCTTTCTGACGTAACACTTGTTACTACAGTCGTTGGTTATTCGGAAGTAAAAACAAAAAAGACAAAAAGCGCAACACTTTAGCTGAGATCAGTCAGGCAGGAATTGTTTTTCAAAACCCGCTCTCCAAAGAAAACAACCGTGAGTGTCATGCGAGCGATCATCCAGAACTGCCCAGATTCTCGAGAGCTCGGTGGAAGCCGCCCCAGTGAAACACAACAGACTGCAAAAGTTAAACTTCCTCTGACACTGGCTTTGCAAATGCAGCTTAAAAGCACTAAAAAAATCTGCTGTGCATCAAACGGACTACAAGCTCTGCCAACCACCTGAGACCAACAATACACGCTGAGTGCTTCCTTTTTTCTTTTTTTTTTTACATCACAGCGTCTCTCTCAGTTTCTCTGAAGGCCTCCTGCCTTCTGCCACGGTGACGTCATACCCCTGTTCTGGCTTCATTAATCAAACCGCCATCCAAGTGTGTGACACAGGAAACAAACTCAGTAACGTGGTCCAATGCTGAAATAGGATTTTTGGCCCTGCCACCAAACTGATGCACTCTGATGTGTGTGTCCATTCAGGCATGCAGCGTTCCTTTGTCTCTCTGTCTTTCTCTGTGTCTTCCACATACATACAAAGACACACACACACAGGCAGGTGTGTCATAAATCCAAGAACGGCGGTGGAGATTTGATGCAGTCAAAATCTCTCGTGACAGATAAAAGACCCTCTGATCCGACACACAACCCACAGATGTTTAATTTATAATGATGTAAAGAGAGAGAAAAAAAACGAGACGGCGCTAACACGGAACATCTGCCAGGAGAACAACAAACAATGGATGAAGTGAAAACAAGAGATTCAAAATGATGGTTGTTGTGCATTAGTTGTTACAACCTTTGAATTACACTAAATATACATACATATATACACATATATATATACATATATACATACATACATATATACATATATATACATATTTATACATATATAATCCAGGAATATTATATGGCTCCTATTTCATTTTGTTTGTGTCAGTTTCGTATCACCAGTAATCGTGACTAATCTAGCTCTAACTCTAAAATAAGAAAAAAAAACAGTTTTTTTCTATGTATTCTGGATACATAAAATCTAAGTCCATAAGTATACCTCAGGTTGGTGGTTTTGGGCGTTACTGTGCGTCTCAACATTGTCTTGTGGACTGCGTCAAAACTTCAGCGAAGCCGTTGTCCTCAAGAATATTAATCAGTCTTCAGTCCCTCGCAATCGCATTTAGTAATTGTGTCAGTCAGCCTGTCAGCCGTCGACTAACTCGCTGCCCTCGGCTCAGTGAGGCCGTTCTGACGTAAGCCGGGCTTCTGACCTGAAATTTAGGCCGTTACAAAAGCGAGTTGTGCGTTGAGATGGTATTTCAAGCGAAAACTCTTTGCAGGCGTGTGTGTAAAAATCATGCGTTTTTGGAGCAACAATAAGTCGATGGAAGATGGAATTATTATGGAAAGCTGAAAAGTTAGAAATTCAAAAGATGAAATTTAAAATAGTACGGTAACTTTTTTAAAATATCTGGGAAAATCAGAACATTTTATCCGTTCGTTTTACTGTTCTATTTATTTCCCACCCAACTATTAGAATGAGTTGGTCGATTATTTTGCTCACCGGCTCTTAGTCAGTCCTGTGTGGAGTATTTCATTGCCATTTTACATTATGCTGTGACATAATGCTGATCCTGGAGAGGCAAATACATGGAGTATTCTGGGCTTGATGTCCATTATCAAACTGCACACGAATCTGCTTCCTAACATGTAGCCACCCCAGCTCTGTCAGCTCCCACCTCTCTAATGTTACCACATAGGCTTTTCTGGATCTGAGTTGTTTGATCTTTCAGCCCACTTAGAGCAAGAGATGAAAGAAGCCTCTCCTCTCCAAACAATAGACTTACGTCAAGGCCAGGTAAACAACCAGACTCAAAAAAAAAAAAAAAAAATCAGCTGGAATACTCATCAATCCATCTTCAGCTCTCACCACATCTTGTTATTTGTTAGAGCCTCAAGAAGGTGTTGTGAGACAGTGATTGGTGGTAATATTTGAAATACATTCTGCATAGTGTCAAGTTTAAGCCTTTAGAGGAAACAGGCAGGATCCAAATGCAGGACCAGGGAGACTTTCTTCAAGCGCAGGGAATTTATTCACAACGTGTAAAATTGCACAACTCACTGGGTAGAAGAAGGAAGAAGGAACGAAGAACAGAACCTCAAGGCATGAAGATCAGGGCATGATAACCAAACACATTAGCACGTAGCATGAGCACATAGCATGAGCACGTAGCATGAGCGTGTACCATGAGCACAAAGCAAAAAGCACAAAGCATAAACACATAGCATGGCCACGTAGCATGAGTTATTATTATTATATTATTATATATATTATTAAGCATTTCATTTGCTTCTTCCTTCCGCTTCGTAAGGCCTCCTAAATACAACTTGCGGAAGACATGGTCAGACTTGACCACCGGGGGCATTAAAAGAGCAGATCATATCTACGTTAATGGTCCATCAACACTCGTCCTCTCAAACCCCTCCACCTGATTCCGATCATTAGCTTCCAACTTTCTGACCCCTGCGGGACGCTAAGTGCGGAGGTCGTGAGCGTTTCTAAATCCAGAACACGTGAGGCTCTCACAGAGGTCGTCAGGTCAGGTTAAGTAAAACAGGAGATCGCGGACAGGAAGTGTGCCTCCCTGACCTGAAGGTCTTCATCTGACAGGGTCTAACCGAGAGATCTCACATGGTAACGATTTGGTCTCTTTTAACTTGTCCCAGGAATGTATGAACCCATGCTGCAACGCCACCACGTGCACCCTGAAGGGAGACGCTGTCTGCGCCCACGGCCAGTGTTGTGAAGACTGTAAGGTAGGACGTTTCTCCCGGACTCAAACATGGGCTTTAAGACTCGAGGGACAGTGTGTTTTTAACTTTCCAAAGATTCTTTTAATGGCGTCAGGAGACTCCGAATCTCCTCATCCTTCATTTAACTGAAAAATATAAGATCATTTCAGATGACAGCTATTTAAATTAAGTTTCCGCATTTCTGCTTAAATCTCCATTAAAATGCCAACGCCGGCCAATGCCGGTTTTTCCTGCGTCTCTACAGACTTCACTATTGGACACCAAAGTGTCTACCTAAGCAAAATCCACAGGGGGGTTGTGAATAATTATGATAAGAATCTTCTATGAACTCTTGTGAATTAAAACTTTTTTTCTCTCTGGAATAGTGACAAAACAGCATAACGTAAACATGTATTACACATATATTACATTGCATGAATGACTTCAGATTATAGTCCACAGTTTGGACTGTTCATTCAGACGTCGTTCTCAGGTCATTTATTATGTGTTGGTTTAAAGTGTTATGTCTGTAATTAAAGGAATCGGGGAATTAAAGGCCGTAAAGGTGAAAAAGCCGATTACATTAACTTTATTTTAGCAAAATTGCATTTTCCGTGGTCTGAGCTACAGCAGTCCTTCAACGGACGTGAGCAGCTTTAAAAAGGAACAATCTAGAAAGAATAACATAATCCAGAACATGGTAAATAGGTTCAAATTAAATGATTCAATTACTAAATTGATTAAAGTCATAAATTGAGTTTTTAGTTTCATGCCGTCGGGCAAAGTGGAAAATGAGATTTATACTCAGACACACACACACACACGCACGCACGCGTTCCTGCAAAATGATTACAGTAGAAAGATCCAACAAAGCTCCACAACTAAGTAAATACTATTACAGCGCAGCTGACTGCAGTCCTGGAAATAACTTTAATTACTCCGTTTGATTGTCAAAGCGTGTTCTTCCTGCGTGTGATTACAGCTGAAGCCAGCTGGAACCATGTGTCGAGAGTCGAGTAACTCCTGCGACCTGCCAGAGTTCTGCACCGGCACCAACGCTCAGTGTCCGGCCAACATTTATCTGCACGACGGCCACGCCTGCCATAACGTTGACGGGTACTGTTACAACGGCATCTGCCAGACTCATGAGCAGCAGTGCATCACCTTGTGGGGAGCAGGTAAATCAGCAGCCACTAATGGACAGCCTGGACAAACATCCCATCCCTCTTTTTCTTTTTCTTTTTTTTTTTAACATTCAACAACGCTTCTTTTTCCCCCCTGGTTTTTGTCCGCGTGCAGGTGCCAAACCTGCCCCTGGAATTTGCTTTGAGCGAGTAAATTCTGCAGGGGATCCTTACGGGAACTGTGGGAAGGACTCCAAAGGCTCCTTTGCCAAATGCGATGCCAGGTAAGACTTCTCAGCTGCGCCAAGGCAGCACAGATTCTGAATAATTACTGTGAAAAGACAGCTGATCAACCAAAGTGGTGTCATTAGCAATCATCATTCTTTGGCATCTGCCTTGTGGTCTTCAGACACATGTTACCGTGGCTAAGAAAGAAAATGTAATTAGAGTATGATCGCAGATAATGACAAGCTAAGAAAGTGTTCATGAATCATTTCCAGCTATTCTCGTCGGCTAATTGTTCTGGAGATCTTGTCCCTTTGGGTGAATCCTGCAATCAGAGTCTTTGTTAATTGATGTAATTGCTTTAATGATGGCAAGATTGAAGCGCCGCAGCGTCTCTTCTCGTGCCTTTCGTCGGCCACGACAATTACCCTTCCTGCTCTGTCACTGATTGGCCTGTGTTTTCAAGCTTTTTTATTTGTTTGAAGTTTGAGCGAACGACTGTGTGTTGCGTTCAGGGACGCAAAGTGCGGTAAAATTCAGTGCCAGGGAGGAGCCAACAGACCTGTGATCGGAACCAACGCCGTTTCCATCGAAACCAACATCCCTCTGCAGGAAGGAGGGCGAATCCTGTGCCGGGGAACGCATGTGTACCTGGGTGACGACATGCCTGATCCTGGACTGGTTCTGGCCGGTACGAAGTGTGGAGACGGCACGGTGAGTCGTCTGCATCGACATGAAAGGGACAGAGAATGAGTTTTTTTTTTTACTTCAGTTAAACAAAGGTGCATTAATAATGTGTTACGATCTCTGAATGTTTTTACTGCCGTTCCCTAAGAGCATATATAATTCTTCAATATAAGAAGAAGAAGAATCAGCTTCAGTGGCCAAGTTTGAACGCACAGGAATTTGACTCACTTCTCAGCTGCGCCAAGGCAGCACAGATTCTGAATAATTACTGTGAAAAGACAGCTGATCAACCAAAGTGGTGTCATTAGCAATCATCATTCTTTGGCATCTGCCTTGTGGTCTTCAGACACATGTTACCGTGGCTAAGAAAGAAAATGTAATTAGAGTATGATCGCAGATAATGACAAGCTAAGAAAGTGTTCATGAATCATTTCCAGCTATTCTCGTCGGCTAATTGTTCTGGAGATCTTGTCCCTTTGGGTGAATCCTGCAATCAGAGTCTTTGTTAATTGATGTAATTGCTTTAATGATGGCAAGATTGAAGCGCCGCAGCGTCTCTTCTCGTGCCTTTCGTCGGCCACGACAATTACCCTTCCTGCTCTGTCACTGATTGGCCTGTGTTTTCAAGCTTTTTTATTTGTTTGAAGTTTGAGCGAACGACTGTGTGTTGCGTTCAGGGACGCAAAGTGCGGTAAAATTCAGTGCCAGGGAGGAGCCAACAGACCTGTGATCGGAACCAACGCCGTTTCCATCGAAACCAACATCCCTCTGCAGGAAGGAGGGCGAATCCTGTGCCGGGGAACGCATGTGTACCTGGGTGACGACATGCCTGATCCTGGACTGGTTCTGGCCGGTACGAAGTGTGGAGACGGCACGGTGAGTCGTCTGCATCGACATGAAAGGGACAGAGAATGAGTTTTTTTTTTTACCTTCAGTTAAACAAAGGTGCATTAATAATGTGTTACGATCTCTGAATGTTTTTACTGCCGTTCCCTAAGAGCATATATAATTCTTCAATATAAGAAGAAGAAGAATCAGCTTCAGTGGCCAAGTTTGAACGCACAGGAATTTGACTCTGACGTTTTTATGTCCTAGGCCAGGGGTGTCAAACATAAGGCCCGAGGGCCAAAACTGGCTCGTTTGGGGTCTTATTCTGGGCCACTTGATGAAATTTGAAAATTAAAAAATACACAAACACTTCATATTCAGGAAATGTTTTGTAAAATTATATTCCATTAAATATGAAGATTTATCTTATGTACTTTCTTGCATGAAAACATGGACTTAGCCGACGTGCTAGCGTAGGTGAGTGACAAAGGTACTCATGTACAGTATGTGGGTTCAGACTTATGGTGAAAATCGAGTTCCGCGTTGGTGTAAGAACAAAAGTCAAAGACCCGCTGTAATGAACTACAGAACTAAGCGTGGTCAAATGTTAGCAACACTGACACAAGCACATTGAAATACGTCACATTTTGTGCCGTCTTAAATTTTTTCAGCAGCATAAATTCTGAAACTCCACCAGGTCGTTGTCATCTTCACGTTTTTGAAACCTGTTTATCCCAGGTGTGCCTGAACCGACAGTGTCAGAACGTCAGCGTCTTCGGTGTGCACGAGTGCTCCAGGAAGTGCAACGGACGTGGGGTGAGTGCCAGACGCCCACCGCCGCCTCGACGTTTGGCGTCCAATCGCGTCCTTTTTTGTTCTTAATGTTTTACTGCTCTTTAATTGCCCAGACAGCAGCGGGGCTGTGTATTTACAGTACAGATGGGGAGTCGCAGCAGCTGCTCCTCTTCCGTACCGTGCCTCCTCATTGTACCGCTGAGGTTACATCAATTTTAGTTAACGGCATCACTTAGAGTCTGTCTAACAGTTGTCCATCATCTCCTGACAATAGAGGGCGATAAAAAGTGCGGAGCCATCGGTGCGGAAGGGTTGAAGTACAAATATAACACTTCCTGACAGAGAGTGATGATGGGGTTTTTTTATTTTAGCATTTCTGCAATGATTTGTGACTTAAACCCATCAAGTTCTCCCTCTGTTTGCAGGGATGTTTGTGAATATAATGTATAGTTTTTTAAAGCCTCCTCTCATTTCCTTTAATCACGCAGATTAGGATTAAGGTGAATTGAAATTCATCAGGTATGAACAGTGTGAATGGTCATCTCCGTACTGTATGTGTGTGCTGTGTCTATACGACTGCTGGGATTGGCTCCAGCCCCCTGAACTCCTTCGCCCCGAAAAGGATGAGGCGTTAGAAGATGAATGAATAAATAAAATCTGAGGGATAGGGAAGAGTTTCCAAATCAAGTGTGTTGCCTTGAGGTTGCCTCCTCCCTCCTACCTAAATGTCTGCCAAATCGATTTGTCTGACATTTTCTCAAACACCAGTCACAGTATGAGGCCAGACTGAGGGAGAGAAAATGCACAGAGTTTACTGTGGGTTTCTGTCTCACTGAATATATTCAAGTATTTGTTGTTTTTGAACAGAATCGCTGCCAAATCGCCATTTCACATTCACACGTGCACCTCTACATTTCTGGGATAAAATACTGATCATTTGATTTGTTTTTGTGAAATAATCCTCACTATACTTATATACTACAGTTCATATTTCCCCCTCATACTCATGCTACATATATTTTCTTAAATGACTGGCTGCAGTTTCCTGTTGTTGTGCTGTACCTGCCACATTCTTGAGACTCCAACACTTGTTTCCAGGTGTGCAACAACAAGAACAACTGTCACTGTGAAGCTCACTGGGCTCCTCCGTTCTGCGAGAAGGGCGGCTTCGGTGGAAGCATCGACAGCGGGCCAATGAGGCGAGCAGGTAGCGAGGTTTTGACGTCATCACATCGTCTAGTCGCAGGCACACATCTGCAAAGCAAACACGCACAAACTCGGCAAACACACTACACCAAAGAAATGTTTTTTAACCAGCAGACAGAGCGACAGAAATGACCTGAGAATGAAACTCTGCGGCCCACCGTAACACTTCTGCATCATGTCCCCTCATCATCGTGCCGTGCTGTAGATGTGCGTGTGTGTGTATTAATGTGCGTGTTGTCATACATGGCATCAGCCGACAGCGTCGCCATCGCAGTGTCCCTCCTGGTCACCCTGGTCAGCCTTCTGGCAGCCTCCGTCATCGTCTTTCTGAAGAGGAAAACTCTGCTGCGAATATTCTTCACCAACAGAAAGAGCACCTTGGAGAAACTCAGGTGAAATGTCTCGTTATGGCAGTACTTCTCAAATAGTGAGGTGCCGGGGGACGTGAGGGGCTTCCAATGGAATATGGCACTCCAGTCACTTGTTGGCAGCAACTCACACAGTGGTTTGTACAGGTTAAAATATACATGTTACCAGGTTCTCTATAGTATTTTAATCAACCACTGCTGTATGGAAACACAGACTAAACTAAAAAAAAATCTCCATCACCAGAGTTGCGTGGTGATTGATGATTTACTTACATCACGTAGTAAACATTAATTTATCACACAGGTAGAAGACGTGAGACGAGTAGTACATTTTAAAACAACACATACTTTTTCAATTTGAATTCTACTGTAGCTGAAATGTAAATGATACAGAGAATTATGGGACATTTTAATGAGCCCGAGAATTCCAAGTAGCACAATTAAGGAGAGAAAAGAAAAAGACACATTTTTTATTCCAGGATAAACCTGTCATGTGGAGCAGTGGTTCTCCAACTTTGTCTACTCTGTACCACCTGAGAAAACACTGAGCTCTAGGCATAGGCCTTCACCATTAGCTTAGATGTTTATGAATGTTTAGAAAGATGTTTAAATGTTGTATTCATTGTGCATGGTATGTTTCAGATTTATTCAATTGAGAATGTAAATGTAAAAATAAGAATTTTCCCCCGCGTACCACTAGAGAGCGCTCACGTACCACTGGTGCTACGCATACCACGGTTTGAGAACCACTGATATAGAGCATTTAAAACTACAAAAATCGTACTAGCGAGTTTCTCGACTTAACATGTCTTAACCTGTCGTGCTAACAGGTCGGTGGAGGCTAACAGACCGACCAGCCCCGTCAGAACGCAGTCCATGTGCAGATCCACACCTCAACGAAAACCTCCATCCAAACCCTCTGGAGCCAGCAGTTACAAGGTGACACTTTCAAACAGCGTGTGTGTGTGTGTGTGTGTGTGTGTGGTTCAGTGTATATTTACACTAACTCTATGAATATGCATGTGTTCAATCTGTCCATTTGATTCGATGGCCCTTTCAACAACCTGCAGTCAGTCCACGCTGCAGAGTTGACAGGGTGAGATGGCAGGAAGACAGATGATTGACTCTGTCCCCCCGACTCACCCCTGTGTTGCTGGAGAAAGACATATTAACTGTGGAGCTGTTGTTGACAGCGACCAGCGAGGCTTTAATTGGGAGATTGCTGTGTTAAATGGCACACCTGGCAGTGTTGTTGGAGGCACTTTAATATTTGTGAGTGATAAAATATTTCTTTACAAAGTGGCAGCAGAGATGATTGATGGAAGCTGCGTGACAACATAATTGTTGTTTTTTATTTGGAACCAATAAGTACAGAGATTAGCTGTGTGACAAGTGCAGTGGATTTAGTTAGAAAACAGAAAATGAAAAAAAAAGTCGAAGGTGTTTTTGTTGTTTTCACCTTCGGTTGTCTCTGTAAATATTAATGATGTTTCACTCCTGTTTGGTCTGTTGTGATCCTGATGTGAAGGAGCTCCAAGGACTCGTGCGTGCTCTTTCAAACAGCCATGTTTAATCATTTGGATGTGAATGATTCAAGAAAAATCTCCCTCTCCTTACAGGCATCTCTCCTGAGCACAGAGCCGCTTCTCCCTCAACACAACTTCCACTCTCACAACCTGCGCAGGCTGCCCCTTTACCAGCCACTGCACATCAGCCACCCCATGCCCATGTCCCTGAATGTGGGCCAACCCCTGCTGCCTCCGCTGCCGGCCCACACGTCGCTGTCACCACCACGAGTGCCACCTTTCCTCAGCCTGCCTCGGGAGCAGTCATCCTACAGAGCGGACCAGGTTGGTGTGACGTGTGATTATTGACCGTCCATTCCATTTCACTGTCTCTAAACCAGTGTTGGCAGAGATTTAGGTCCAGTCCCAGAAAGACCTCACCTTTCTCCTTGCCAATCACAGTGAGTTCAGTTTTAGTTACAGCATATAGTTACTGAACTGAACTTGTGGTTCTCAAAATATGGCACGCGTATCATAGGTGGTACTTGGGCTTTAGTGTCACATTGTGGGATTTTAATACACATTAGATTAGGTGAGTCCATAAGTTGTAAAATGTAACTGTAATATATTTCTGCTTGCTCTCTTGGTGAGTATGTGGCCTTGTGGAATTTTCTGGAAGTGCCGGTCGCGGTGTTGAGTAATTTCACGGCGTGTTTTTGCTGACACCTGTGATGCAGCAGTCGCTTATGTGAGTCTTCTATATGCAAAACCTCAACACCTTAAATAAACATACATTACATAAAAGGTTGAATAAATACACATGACCTATACAGTACAATATTCCACAGGGAGTAAAGATATAAATATATATACATGAATATGTAATACCAATCTTTTTTAGTATACGGTATGCAAATGTTGTATGCACATCCTGTTATTAATGAAATATCAGCAACAGTGTGTCAATAAAGTGGTGAACTGGTCCACTCTTTATGTACTGAACGCTACACTTTTACCTGTTCACACCCATTCCCCCTCTGAGCCACTAGGGGTAATTTGGCCGTAAGTGTCTGAGACGCATTAGCGTCTCCTGAGGAGCTGGTGATTAATCCGGCTGACCTTTCCACCCTAAAACGACTGGTAGTAGCTGCTGATCCACAGCTAGCTGCTCTTAATGTGCACTTAAGCCACTGTGTGTGTTAAAACATGCTATAAATACACGCACAATTCTGTAAATTTTTATAAGGCCAAAGCCATCAGTCACTGGGAAGGAGGTGTCCTTCGCTGCGTGAACAAATTGTCCTTGATCACCCACTAACGACGCACTTTTGCTGAAAGGCTAAGCCCGCCCCGCGACTGTTCACTGACCGGCCAGTCCAATGAAATCCTGCTTCACTCTCATACCTACAGGCTCATTTTGGTGTAATAAAGCAGCTGGAGCGAACAGCAACATCTCACCCAGGTCAGGAGCACAAGAGTGGAGTCTGTTGAGATTTAATAACAGGCCCGGACATAAAAGAGCTGGTGTAGTACAACCGTGTTGTAGTACTTGACATAATCCTGCGCTGTCCGTGTCAGAGCGCGCGGTTAAAAAAAGGCCTTTTTACTGGGTGTTTTATGCACACATGCGGATAGAAGCACATTAATGTCAAGCGGTTTACGAGAGAGGGGGAAAAAAAAAAAATCATCTTCTGCTGTTAACACTGAGAAGTCAGAAGGATGGTGTTGAAGCTGCGAGTTTTTAAAAAAGCTCTCAAAAGATCTGCTTTTGTTTCGCTGAAGGAAAACACAACAGACACCTGTGGAGTTGAATGAATACAACATCAGTAGGCTGTAACTCAGGACAGATGTGCTTCAAACGTGAACTCCAGCGTCACAAAAAAGCAAAACACGTCTTTAAACAAAGCGTCATCTTTTCAGGAACTTGGAGAAACAGCTTTGTTTGGGGCCAGACCTTCATGCATTTTTCAGCTCCTCCGGTGGGTTGTGAAAGGTGCCTGTGAGCCCAGGGCTCATAGATCATCCTCCAACCACGGAGGACAGTGTAATCCTTCATTTTGGATTAAGACGTGAACAACTCCAAGACACCAGTTAAAGTGTGAGATTTCCTGCCAAGAGCGCCGTTAGAATGCACACGAGTCCTGCAATATTTTTGCATTTGAGAGGCTGCATCTGTGCATGGGCCTCTGCTGAGGAATCAATCTGTTTTAGTGGAGGACGTGTCCAGAGACCGAGTTACTTAAACCGAACCCGTCCATAACTTATGCATGTAGGAGTTTCTCGTGAGTAGGTGCATGCTTTCAGATCACAGTGGGTGGTTGCCTGCGTGTGGAACTCTGTGAAATGCCGTTAGTTTGGGTTGTTGTTCACACAGGTTCCTCTCATGGGATCATGACAATCACCTACTGTGTGCATCTTTATTATCCACGAACACCGTACGCTGCTGTGGATCTGGGTGGAACAGACCTGCTGTGTTGATAGCAGAGCGTTGGTTTGATTAAAGCATCAGGGTTTAAAACTCTGCAGGGCATCTCAGTGTGGAGACGAGATTATTTTAGGAGAATTTAGCTAACACTGCAAGTTAATTTTCTACATTGAGTAAAACTTCCTTTGCTTTGAGACATTATATCCTGCACGACATCTTAACTTGCAAGTATCACACTGCTAGAGGTTAAATATAAATAAGATTAATATTGTTATTGTTATATTGTGTTATATGTTGTCCTCTGTTCCCACAGCAGAAATAATGACCTTTCCAAAAAAACTGTACAAACAGCTGTTTAGATAATCAGGCTGTGCAGCAGGAAGTGCAACATCCTCTCTTTCTACTGCGTACAGCTCACGTCAACCATCAGGGGGCGTAGCTGGAGAAATAGGAGGACAGATTCTTTGGTGTTATACTATGGGATTGTTATTCATTCATTTTGTAATGGCTCACCTGCAGCATTTACAATGTTGGAAAATAAATTACAGATTTATTTTTAATGATTCAACTTATTTTTAATAAAACAACACTCCATTATCTTTTATTTTATCCAAATATAAAATGTAAATATCGTTTAGTCTTGGTTTATATTTTCAAAATCAGGCACAAACGTATTGTTTTGGCCGAAACCTGTTGTTCGTGGAAAACCAAACAACTGACCGCATTTCTTAATAAAATCCTACCATAAATTGTGTCACTCGGCTACCATACCCTTGTGGAACATGAATAAAACAAATTTCCGATGGCAGAAACCCGATGCATAATGATATACTGATTCAAAAAAAAAACAAAACTGAATAACCTTTATATTTCAACCTTTTATAATTTTGCTACTGTTTAATATCCGTGTAGTTAGAGCTAAAGCTAAGTTCTCTACCGCACAGTGTGAATGCTGCGTTTATATCTGTCATAACGATTGACAAACACTTGTAGAGTGCAGTCGGTTGTGCCATCTTTGGCCAGTAGACGGCGACAGTCTGCAGAATATAAAATAAAAAAAAATTAAAAGCCTATTTGGTGGGAGAAAAACTGCTACATATTAAATTCGAAAAATGTCTAAGTTCGAAACAACATTTTTTTTACGGTCTACGTTCTGGAAAAATTATGTATTTCAGTTTTATGTTTATCCGTGTAATCTATGTGTGTGGCGTGATGTATTCAGAGTGGATGTGGAGTGTGTTTGTATGATGTGAGCCAGCGTCCTGGTAGCAGGTGTTTATCGCTGCCTCACCTCCTCACCATAGATTAGTAACACCTGAGGACACCACTGTCAGATACCCCTCTGCTCTCATGTAGAGCAGACTCAGGGGCTCAGACGGAGAGGGAGGGAGATTGTTGATGACATAGTGCCCTCTAGTGAAACCTGTCTGCTCACGTCTCTTGGCAGCATCTACATAGCTAATCCATTTTTAAGAGATACGTTACTTTGGTTTTCATCTGTGTTTTTCAAACGGTTTTAACAACCTTATGTCTATATGAAATCAATTAAAGAGTGGTTTGTTCTTTTTGGCAGGACTTTGATAAACCCAGTCCGCCGCAGAAACCTCTGCCTGCAGACCCACTTGGGAGGAGCTCACAGCTGGCACACAGTTTTAAAGAGGGAGGGGTTCACTTACCCAGCACCGGACCACGTCCTATACCTTTGTCAACCGTGCCCAAGCCTGCACCTACGATCCCTTTACCCAGCAGGTCAGTATGGACCTAAAATACAAGATGAACATCAATAAGAGTCATGGAATGGCTTGGTTAAAGTGTAAAGAACACTTTGAGTTGTACTTTTGAGTTTCCAGATTTTCTAAAATTCAGTTTTACTCTAAATTATAGTGTTAAACCTCTAAACTCTAACACCGTTTGATGGAAACTGAAACCAAGCACATTTAACACCAGTGACTGGGTGTGTATCCCACAGGCCTGTGCCAGTCTTGCCCTACAGACCACCAAAGTATCAGAAGGACTGCTGAGCTGCAGACGTCACGGACAGAGGACTTAATCAAAGTCACGGTGTAGACGGAGACTTTTTTTAGACTTGCACTAAACACAGAAACTCTTTGAGACCTTCGGGAAAGTTGGAAATGTCCCAGAGTTTCTGATAAAAAGAGACCAACGGCACACGACAGGGCTGTTCCCTCTGACAGGTGCTCTCTTCTCCTCACTCAGGTACTGATTAAAACTATTTATTGAATTATTTAAAACCACCAGTTTGTGCACATCATTGGAAAAGCAGAGAAAAGAGCAGAAACACGGTGTCCTTTTGGTTTTGTTTTAAGATTCTTTAATGCTTTTGATACTTTTTGAGTGAATTGCTAAATATGTAATGAGGGGGAAAAAAGGGACAGGGAGGCCAACTCAGTGAGTTGTCAGAATAGCTTACGGTCCATGAATATTATATTTTATTCATTTATATATTTATGAGGTATTGGATATTGAGTAATTTTTTTATATTCATGCCACCACGATGCTGAAAAATACTTGTTTTAACAGTGGGGAAAAAATACAAAACAAGTAAATAATTACTGGAGTCCAGGAATATGTTTTATTCACACACTTACTCTGTTATTTCCTCATGCGTCCATATTCTCTGTGAAGTACAAACAGAAAAAGCACACGTCTGGTGACACGTGGTGGTCCTGGTCTCCTGATGCTGGCACACACTGCCGAGCTTCTGCATGTTTGGCCCGGAGACAGACTTTAGTGTCTGTCATTGACTCCAGTCAGTGCTGTCGCTGTGTTTTTGCGACACTCACTTTCTGTCTGTTTGCGGCAGCCAAGTTGGACGACGCCTAAACTTCGAGCTCCTTCCAGCTCCTTCTCAACCACGTCCAATGAAAGGCGACACTGTGTCCTTGTAGTCCGTGTCTCCTCCTCTGCCTAATGTAACGTGTCGTTGTCCGTTTTCTATGGCCGTGTTATTTCCACACTTCATGTTTTTCATGTTCGCACCGCTGTCCGTACTTTCTGTTGCACTTTGAGTTTGGCACTTTTACAAGTTGTGACTTTGTTGACTTGCTGTCATATGTGTACAAAATCATCGGTTAAAACGATTGCAGCTCTCTCTCTCTCTCTCTCAGTCGTCAGAATACTTTTTATTATTTCAAATGTGAAAATATCAGTGTCATGTCGGTTGGTTGTTCAATACTTGTCATTTGTAAATGTAACTTTTTTTTGTTTTTGCAATACCGTCAAATTTGAAATGACAATAATACGACAATGGTGTCTCCTGTGTCGTCTTTAAGCGCAAAATTTAAAGAACATTTTTGTAAGGTGAATGGAGAGCACAAGAGCGCCACCTTAAGATAAGAGATGAGAAGTAAATCTTTTTAAATCTACGTTTACCAACACTAACGTGGGAACACAAGGCAATTGTTAGAAAAAGTTGGAACGTTCCTTTCCACTTGAGCAGCCTTGTTGTTCAACACTGCCATCTATCGAGCCTTTTTGGTCATTACCAGAAGTAGATTTGATTTTTTTACGACGCTTTCACTTGCTTTCAATTGCTTTTTAAAAACAGCGGTGTAAAGTATTGAAATAAAAACGTTTTTTTTCTAATTATTATTTTTTTAATCTTGTAAAATGGCATTTCAGATTGGCAAACAACGGTTCTCAAACTGTGGTAGGGTTAAGGTTAGAGTTACACGGATGAGTCACTTACTGTACGGTAGTTGTTAAATACAGTTGTATATTCCAGTTTAATCTGTGTGTGTGTGTGTGTTGGGGGGGTGTTAGCATTAAATTGAATTTCCAGTTGTAGACTCTACAGTGTAGGCAGGTGCAGCAGTATTTCAATGTTCAAGGTCTTACTGGTGGTACTTGAAGAGCCTGGAGTTTGGAGAGACACTACAGCAAACAGCAGACCACTCTCCTCATCAGTGTCTTCTGTGGGATTAATGGTCACATGACAGCACTCCACTGGCTGCCTAGTGAGCCTTTGCTCTGGCTTCACTTACAGGGAGTCTGTGTGCTGCCAAGTCAGAGCTCATGGTGTCCAGACTATAGTTCCCCAGATCTGCGAATGAAGTCCACACCAAACAGATTGGAGCTGAGTGCTGGTAGCACCAGCTTGAAACCTTTCTGAGGGGCTTCTGCCTTGGTTCTGAGACACAGAAGGGATAATCAGTGTAAACAAAGAGGAATCATATTTAATAATGATACTTTATAATATAATGGCAATATAGTTTAGGGGTCTGGGTTTGAATCCTGAGACTTTGAAGACAGTGTCTGAATGATAATGATGTTACCGTGATATTAATGTTGATGGTGATGCAAATGTTACATTGACGTTAATAATGCAGATAATGTTGATTGATAAACAACAATGACAACAACAATGATGATCATTTTAAATATAATATTCTAACAATGATAATGATGACAATAAAAATGATGCTTTTTATATGGTAATGGTGACAAGGATGTTGACAATGGTTTGATGGTGAACACTATCATAATGATATGAAGAGATGAGGTTGGACGTCATCACTACAGCATGTCTCGAAAAACGTGTTGCTCTAATGCAGCTGTCCTCAGGTGCAGTGAAGCACCTGCCTCCATCCTCCCACTGCAGGTGTTGGTGTTGTTTCCTCTAACTGAATCTCTTGCTGGGACACAACAATTCACAGTCACATCAGAAAGCTTTAATCATCCTGTCTTTTCCTCCCCTCCAGAGAGGAGAGAACAAAAGACCTGAGGGATCTTTTTTTTTCCCAGGCGCTCCTCACAGCTGCCCGACTCTCTCTCAGCCCATATGTCAAACACTCGCTTATGGCTCCCATATAATTCAGTCGGGGAGTAAAAAGACACTCGGCACATTACAGAGAGGGGAGAAAGATAAACACACAGCAGGCTAATGTGAAAGAACTCACTCCCCAGACTAATTATCAAAGTAAATGACAGTAGGAGAGGCTGGAGTTGAGACAAAGTGTCTTTTATTAAGACACCATTCACAGGTGCGGCAGGTCCATAGAGTGGTATGTTGTTTCAGCTTGGAAAATAGGTGAGAAGAAAACCCTGAAGATCCACTTTTTAGTATTTGAATGCGGTCTAGACAATGCTGGTACTGTACATTTTTTGTTTAATATAAATATTGTAAAGTACTAGTGTAAAAGCAAGTATCTTTCTCATTTGATATATGATCAGGCATTAATGCTGACACCTCAGAGCAGCAGCAGAGACTGTTACTCCGGCTCATCCAGCCAGGGACAGTAATGAATTCCAGCTTGTACTTGCTGGTTAGAGAGTGGATTCGATTGTACTGCACACATGGCTGGAGATGAGGAGTTAAAGATTTAACAAAGAGGACAAAGTCCTGCAGCCGTTGTGGAGCCCCTGTGGCCCTGTGTTTATCAGTTGACTGCAGCTAAAATAATAGAAATGTGGGATAATAACAGAAATTACAGATTGAAAATCAGATATTGCTTTTGAATTGTGGTTTTAACAAGTTAATGAAACTGGCCTGGAAAAGATGATGATATCCACGTGGAAGGAGCTGAAACATGAAGTCTCAAATCTGGAGGTTGTTTTGTTAACGAGGACTGGGCCAAAACCACTGAGGGCAGGTGCAGAAGTCACACTGAGGGGCAGAAATAGCCTGATTGTAACAAAATATTAAGTTAGGTGGACCATCGTTTTAGTCCAGGTCAGTTTCATTAGTTTCTCTCACACCACAATTTTATCTTTCCTTCTGCTTCAGTCAGGTAAAAAGACATGAGATGAGTCACAGTCATGAAATGTTGTAGGCTGATCCAGGACCAGTACATTATGGAGGTAAAAGATGGAGCGCAACATAAATTTAAAAATATTTTATTTCCATGTCACAGCAGATCCATGCGAATATAAAGAAGTGTATGTGTGTGTGTGTATATATATATTTATATATACAGCTCTGTGGACAAACTAATCTTTGCACCGAAAGTTGCCACAATATTGCACAATGTTGTTCGGGGAAGAAATCAACAAGTCAACGTAACATTCAGTTACACCTAAATCCACCCTTTTTTTTGTAAGACATTAATTCTGTATTGTTTCAGTCTGGGCTTAATAATGTAGAACTTTACAAGAACCAATGTGTAAATTACATTTAAAGAATCAAATGATATCATCCAGTCCTGCACTGAGCAGGTTTCACATCTTTAACAATTAAGAAAAAACAAACAAAAACAAAACCTGTACAACTCAAAACCAGCAATGCACATGCTGAAAACAATGATAATAATGTGGTTTAAAGGCGCAGGAGGTGAATTAGCTTTCTTCAGAGCAGCCTGAGATTGAGCCGAGTTGACGCCGACTTTAGTCTCTTTTATTTTATTTTGTAGCCGGCTGTAGTACGGGCGTCAACGTGAACCTGCGTCTTCATTTCCTGTTTGCAGGGTTAGCTGCTGCAGCAGTTCCATGTAGAGTACGACTCGGCCGAGGAGAGGTGCGGTCTTCTCGGCTCGCAGCAGCTTGGAGTACACGCTCCTGTACGTTTTCAGCAGCTCCTCCTCAGTATTGCTGTAAAAGGGAAGACACAATTTCACCTCCTCACCGCAGGGAATTTTCTTTAAAAAAAAAATAGAAAGTGTTCCAGCTGACTATGGTTCTTTCAGAATGGGTTGAATGTACTGGTTTGTGAATGAGGCCCCTGAGTTGATGTTGCAGATTGAACAAATAAAACACTGCAGTACAACCGGGCATGTTTACTACGCTCAGCCCAGAAAATGCTTTCTTACTGCCATAAATATCTACCTGGTACTTCTGTATATTTCCTGGTCCTTTTTTACTTTTCTCCTGCAGTAAAAAGAAACCCCATAATATTTAGATTCTCTCGCGCTCTCTTACCTTGGCTTCCGTTTGGTCAACAACTTGATGAGCTGCAGCAGCAGGGAGGAGAAACTTGGTTCAAACACACCAATTAGCTTTCCTACTTCCTGGAGGTTCAGGCCTGAGCCTGGACCACTGGTCCCGTCAGAGGACTGCGCAGCGACGACCGGTTCAGCCGACTAACAGAACAGAGTTTATACGACGTGAGGTTATTTGCGATGAAGAGACCAAACACAGAAAGAGAGTCGTTTTAAATCTTCACCTCCGGCCACCCGTCCTGCAGCTCGTTGTGAATCAGTTGAAAAGCAGAGTGAGTTTCTGTCATGATCTGTAGAGCTGCCGTCAGGCTCTTCAGCTTTGTCGCGCTGCTGCTCTGACCTGACAAAACACAGAGGGACTTCACCAGAGGATACTTTATTACATCGTACATGTTGGTGTGCATGGTGGAATTACCCTCTCACTGTAACCTTTTCATGAACCTTCTGATCACAGAGTGGCCTAATGGTCTACATTAGCTCTATGGCTACTTCTAAAAAAATGTCCAAAAATGTAATGTAAATGTAAAGTAAATGCTGACCTTGAATGAAAACCTCATTCATTCTTCCATAATAACAAAGTTTTATTTTTTATACAAAACAGAGCATCATTATGGACTGCTCATCGTGTTTTTGTCATAAAAAACTAAACATTTATTTGTATTACCTGCCATAGTGAACTCAGCAAAAGCCACTCTCTCCAGCAGTGTGCGAAGCAGCTCACATGGAGCATCTTTAAGGTTAAGGAATAAACCCACAGCCTTGCTATAGTGCAGCTCTGCCAGGCTGCGATGCTGCTTCCTCAGGTGTTCATCTCCAACCTGTCACATGAACACAACCACAATCACCAATAACTCATATATGTGTTACACTGCAATAAAAACAAAACCCTTCCATCATTCCTGCTAGTAAAAGAGAGACTGACCTGATTGCGGAAGCAGCTGTGGTACATGGAAGCCAGCCGGTGATGGATGGTGGCTGCTCTGTACTGGTAGAGCGGCTGACGTGCCGACTCACTCTGGAGGTCACAGTACTTTAGCGACTTCATCATGGCATCAGTCACTTCTCGTTCAATCTGGGAGGGAGAAAAAAAAACTCCAGTGGTTGTAGAATTTGTATTAATTATTTTTATTTCTAACCAAATTAGAAATAATTTAAAAAATAATAACTACCTGCTCCTGTGCCTTCCTGGACAGAGGAGCGTAGTCCTGTAGATGTGTAGCCAGAGTGAAGTAGGTCGTGGACAGCTCCCAGTTGACGCTGTCCCACACTGCTGGGTGGTATTCTCTGTTTGCCAGCGACCTCATAGCACGTAGGTAGTAGTCTATAGCCTGGGGGCATCGGAGTATCACCATAGCATTAGGATAAAGACCAGAAATTCTCTTATTTAACTTGAGGCATATTTTTATTTTATTATATTTTATCTTGAGCATCTCTACCATGTATTCTACAGTATATACCATATTTTTTGGAATACATGTCACATTTGCTAGTTTGGACTTATATCAAACCTAAATACCATAACGGCACAAGATGGCACTGTTTACACTGCCCTGCACCACTGAAAATTACAGAACAGATCATAAAGACTTCTTTATGAAAACAGCAAGATTAGAAATAAGTAGTAAAATATAAAGGACTGGCAAATGTATACTGTATATTGCAATAAAAATACTATTATTTATTGTAAAAAATTAAAGGCAAGTTTCTTAAAAAAGCAACAGCTCCCCAACATAAACAGAGTTGAGTGAGTAAAATATCAGTAATGCACTAAACTTGATCCCAAAATGAGCCCTGCATAATGAAATGCATGTTTAACATGGCACCTTGTTGTAGTAGAGCGCCTCCTCTGGTGAGAACTCCCCTCTGCTCTGGCTGGCAGAGCAGGCACCATAAGCTTGAGCACAGATCCTCATCAGCCTGCCGGTGTTACACAGCAGCAGGGCTGTGTTGGTGTTGTCGCAGATGGCTACAAAGTCCTTCATGCCTTTCTCGAAGAAAGAAAAACTCTTTTTCCACAGCTCCTGCTCTGCTACGGACACTGACGTCTTTACTGTGGAGGGAGAACAAGAAGGAAAATAAACCACACAGTTAATGTTGCATCTAAACCAGTGTCATGAACTTCTTCTGCAACGCTACACGTTTTATTATATTTATATTATTTACATTCTCTTTTTAACACAATATATATATATATACATATATATAGTGTATAAGTGACATATCAATTGCTATCACCATGATCATTAGCTGCACCTGCCAACAATTAATAGCCATATGTCTTTATTATTTTAAAGGAACAGCATCAGTGATATTGCCAGCAGTATCTCTAAGCCCAAACCAAACTTGGAAACCTGTATACCTTCCATTTCTGTCTGCACAGCAGCAGCCTGGTTCATGTAGTAAACTCCCATCTCGTTGCGGATGTTCCCCAACCGTTTGAGCACCTGATCCAGCTGATCCGACTCTTGATCTTTCAAAGCCTCGGACACCAGCAGTTCGTGAGCGGCTTCGTAGCATTTGCTGCTGACGATAAGCTGGTACTCCGGGTCCATGGCCATGTCTGTGGCCATGTTGAAGGCTGGTGGAAATAGAAGAGAAACAAGAAAGGAATTGGCTATATTTTTGAATAAAAACCCAAAGCCACAGCTCTCAGCCCAACAATAATAAGGCACTGACCCTGACAACTGCTCTCCCTGTGCAAGCTGTGAAGGATCTCCTGGTCCTCTTTGGTCTGGTAGCTATATTCTTCAAGATTAGCAGCTCTGTTGCTGGCGTTCTGCGCCAACATCAGCTGGATGTCCCCACAGAGACACAGACACTGGCTGTGAAACTGCAGCACCTGTGGGTGCAGTGCACTACTGACTGAGCAGTAGGCATCTAGACAAAGAGACAGACGGCAGGAGAAATAAGTCAAAGAAATGGTTTTTGGACTGTTAAAATTAAAAACTTTAAGCAGCATATTTAAATAAACATTATTTGTTTGCTAAATCTATAAAGAGTCCTCACCGTAGCATTGTAAAGACAACTTGATGTAACGCAGGGCTCTTCCGTACTTTGACAGGTTGGTGGCAGCGTCAGACAGTACGTAATAGGCCTTGGAGGCTTTGAGGAAGAGCTGCAGCTTCATGTGATGCTGCCAGGAGCCGGGAATCATCCCAGAGCGTGTCGGGTGATTCTGATCCGTCTGCACAGGCCCAGCTGGTGACATATATGATTAGGTTAACGCTGGATGTAAATACACTGTAAGGTAAAAAAAAAAAAAAAGATATCTCAAACTGACCTCTGTCGAGAGGGAGAGAGATGCCTTTCTCAGAAGTGCAGGATCCCACTGCATTTCTGTCCTCGTACTTGAGTGGAATAGGTGTGTTGGGGTCTGCAGCAGGGAGATCGCTCTCCTTCTTAATGCTGATGTCCACTGCTTTAAGGCCCTGGGATGTGTATGACCGTGAATATTAGCTAGTAGTTAACATATCCCATTATAAGTACTGCAAGTCTGGCAAACACTCACTTTCAATACATAGTTCAGGACATGTCTGCATCTTTCCTCCTTGTCTTGAGAGACAGGAAAAGCACAATTTGGCTGCAAGATAATTGAAAAGAAAAAAAAAAAACGGAAATCTTTTATACAACGTCTCACTCTGAGATTTGTGTTAACAAAGGTGATTCCTACCCTAATCTGGTGAGTGGATCTGTATTTCTCAGGCACAGACAGCTCCCCGACAGAGCGGATGACAGCTACTGCCTTACTATCATCCTGTGGGTTAGAG